GCAGTTCTCATGACATCAAGGTACTGTATATGCATGAATACTCTGAAGGGACACCAAATATCATGAAACAATGATCAGTCACGATCATGCATCACACACAGACAGACACAGAACATTCACTCTAAAGTGAGCGTAAGCCAGGAGGAGTAAAAATGAAACAAAACATCTTGCAACAGGCTCTTTTAAAATAACTATTTTTAACTTGACATAGCGAATTAAACACACAACGCTGAGTGCTGAACTTTGGTTATGCCAAAGAAAATAGTTTGTACACTTATTATTATTATATTAGTGTAATCTGGAAACATGGGCTTTCTGAGGTGTTTTTTATTGAGTCAGACATCAAGGCAAACCCCTCATACTGGCCTCACCTCCTGTGTCAGCTTGATTTCAAAGATTTAACTGGGCAGAAAGAGGGGAAAAGGGAAAGTGTTTGGCAATGATCTTAAGGACGGACCTGCAGCCTTGCCAACAACTTGAGAAATTATGCATTTATAATGTTGTAAAATACCTCAATATCTTCAGCTGACAGTTTGAACTCTTCTTCCCATCAGAGAGTAGCTTCACTCCTGAATCCTGCAGGTCATTGTTACTCAGGTTCAGCTCTCTCAGGACAGAGTTCGAGGATTGTAAAGCTGATGACACAATTTCACAGTGCTGAGCAGTGAGATTACAGATGGCAAGACTGAAACAGAGCAGAACACATGTGAATTAAACTCTTAACCCCATTATACAATTAGCATTTCAATCATATCTGCTTAATTCTTGTAAAACAGATCAGGGCATTCTAAAAATAAGCAAAACAACAGTTAGTGCAATTCCATTCAGAAGGTACTCTTCATTGTAACACATGATTAAACACTCACAGAGCTTTTCTGCAGTTGATCACAGGTGGTATAAGTCTTCTTCTGCCCTCATCTGATGTGTTGTATTTCTTGAGATCCAGCTCATCCAGCACCTCCTCTGATATCTGAAGCATGTAGGAGATTGTTGAGCAGTGAGATGGAGAGAGTTTCTTCTCTGTGTGTTTGTCTGATTTCACAAACTCCTGAATCTCTCTGGACAGAGTCTGATCTTGTACTTCGAGGAGACAGAGGGACAGACTGATGGATCGCTCAGTGGAGAGTCCTTGTCCATCTTTGATCTTCTCTTTAATGTACTGTGTGGTTCTCCTGATGCTCTCTGAGCTGTTCTCTGTGTTTGTCAGTAGATCCTGTAAGAGTCTCTGATTGGACGTCAGTGAGATGCCCAGCAGGAACCGCAGGAACAGATCCAGGTGTCCATTTTTACTTTCTAAGGCGTTATCTACTGCACCTTTATACAAATTTTGCATTGAATCAAAAGTCTTAAGGGCTTCCATGGTGCTGCTTAAATAGCAGTAAAACACATAGAAAGCAGCGAGAATCTCCTGAACGCTCAGATGAATGAAGCAGTAGACTTTCCTCTGATGAATCACAGATTCCTCTTTAAAGATCTCAGTACAAATCCCAGAAAACACTGAGGTGTCAGTGACGTCTAAGCCGCTCTCTCTCAGGTCCTCCTCATAGAGCATCACATTGCCCTTCATCAGCTGCTTAAAAGGCACTTCAGCAAGTTTCACAATCACTTCTCTGTTGGACTTCAGGAGTTTCTCTGGATCTCTCTCTTCATACTTCTGATTCCTCATGCTCATCCGAATCAGCAGGAAGTGGATGTACATTTCAGTCAGAGTTTGAGGGATTTCTGCACTCAGATCTTCTTTCAGGAGGTTTTGAAGCACAGTGTATGAGATCCAGCTGAAGACGGGGATGTGGCACATGATGTGGAGGCTTCTTGCTCTTCTGATGTGTGAGATGATTCTGCTGGATTTTTGCTCATCACTGATTCTCTTTCTGAAATATTCCTCCTTCTGAGGCTCATCAAATCCCTGAATTTCTGTCAGACGGTTGATGTGTTTGGAGGGGATCTGATTGGCTCCTGCTGGTCTGGAAGTGATCCAGATGAGAGCAGAGGGAAACAGATCTCCTCTGATGAGATTTGACATCAACACACCCACTGATGAAGACTCATTCACATCACAAACGTTCTCAGTGTCTGACAACATCAGTGTTATTCTGCTTTCATCCAGATCATCAAGGATGAAAACAACTTTACTTTCCTCATAAATCTTTGAGTCCAGATCTTGGAGTTCAGGGTGGAAGTCCAGCAGAAGTCTGTGAAGACTGTACTGATGATCTTGAATCAAGCGCAGCTCTCGAAATGGAAACACAAACAGGAAATCTACATCCTGATTGGCTTTTCCCTCGGCCCAGTCCAGAATGAACTTCTGCACAGAGACGGGTTTTCCAATTCCAGCGATACCTTTAGTAAGAACAGTCTTGATTTTGTCTTTCTCCTCATATCCTGGTTTAGATAAGGCTTTGAATATGTCATTACAGTTTATTGGCTTGTTTTGTGTTCTGGGTGTTTTCTCCATCTGTAAAACCTCATGTTCTTCATTCACCCCTTCTCTCTCTCCTTCTATTATGTAGAGCTGTGTGAAGATCCTGTTCAAGGGTGTTTCATTACCTTTGTTTCCCTCAAATAAGCAGCCATACCTGTTCTTCATGCTGGTTTTGTGAAGGTCTTTGACTCTCTGCAGGACTGCTTCAGTTCTTTCCTGCCTGATGTGGGTCTGGTAGTGGGATGCAATTGTATCATCTATTTCCACAATGCTGAAATTAAAAGAAAGAACAGCAAAAATGGCAATAACAGTAATTACAATGACTGTTGAACATTTTACGAAACACAGCAGTGTGGATTGTATGTTGTATATTTTGGAGAACATTTAGTGTTCACTGGGTTTCTTAAGCCATTATTTAATCAAGGTGAATTACAGTAAAGCAGGAACTAAATATTTATACTAAATATGGGGCAGAGGTCACTGTCCCATCACTGAATGTAGGGTGATTAAACATGGATCATGTATTATTCATAGACACACTGCTGGGTTCTGGAGATTTTGATCTCTTCTTCCTGTTGTTTCTGACAAAAGATAAACACGTTTGTATATTATATACACACACACAAACACACACACACACACAGAGATACAAGCACAGTATCATTGTATATAAAGATACTGTATTATACACATTTCTATTTTTTGATATGTCAAACAGACAAACATTTTCTACTAAATAACTTTTTCCTTTTATTAAACATTCAGGCAGTTATGAAAATCTATTTGAATTATTGTTGTAATTAGTTATTAAAGATATTTACATACATTTTGAAGAAAACAAGAATAAGCAATTTTGTGATTATACAAGGTATATCTGCTATATGCAAACTATAATGGCAACAAGATGACATTTAAAATGGGCTTTTCATTTAGTATAGTTAAACTTCTGGTTTAAGCCCTGCCCACATTTGGTTTTATCTGAATACAGATAGAAATACAAATAACTTTATAACAAACAAATAACAAATAACTTCACACAGCACTGACAGACAATGGCCAATGCAGATAATCACCAGATTACAGTCTGTCACTTCTCAGAAATTCCACAACCAAACAAATACAGACTAAACATGTCAACAGATTGTAGAGTCTGAACCAATCAGACACACCACCTTTCATTAGATTTAACAAATCAATTATGCATTAGATTAACAAATCGTCACAGACCCCTCACCCAATAAACATACTGGGTGCCAGGTTGTCTGCGAACGACGCCAGGCTCCTGGTCACCATGGCAACCAATGCTGATATCACTGGTTTTATTGCCCAAAGTAATGTGGGTAGAGGGAATCACTACCTTTTCCATAGGAAAACTCCCCAGTATTTCCAAACTCCCGCTTGGGATTTCAGCCTTTCTCATTGGACAAGCCCATCTTGAGAGGCGTGAATCTTCTCAGACCTTAAAGGCCTCACATCAGTGACCCGCCTCGAGTCGACGGTTTGGTTGGATTCTGAGAAGATAAAAATGTGAGCTACAACGCTCCAGGACACCCTAAGTTTGTGCCAGGCCTCGGGCCTTGACTTTTCCATTCACCAAGATTCTCTGACTCAAACTGGTTCTTTTTCATCAACCAACTTCAGCAAAGATCACCTTGGACTGCATCAAGCCTTTCTTTCAGACAGACGAGACGTGCAAGTATCAAACTTAGTCTTATTAATTGATACATTAGGTATCATTTGCGCCGTCCTGAGCACCAAGCAATAAGCATAATCTGAATAGGAATGCTCTCCATCTTCCTTTTTTTCCTCCTCTACTTCACTTCCTCAGAGATTAAGTCTGTTGTGAAACATCAGTGAGTTCTGAGTGATAATTTGACAATAAGTGCAGCCTTAAGTCATCAATCAGAACTCTGTTTACGCCCTTTTCAGCAAACATATGCTGACCCAAACCTATCTTAGCATTCTGTCATCCACAGCTAAGATAATAACCTAATACTTCAGCTAAGCGCACCTGGCAAAAACCTAGCTGTAAAACCTAGCTCCACACTCTGTTTTGATCTTGTAG